TGCGCATATTGTGGTAGTAATCTGGTATATGGTTTAATAAGCAAAGTTAACAATTTCATGGACTGATCTGTTGTTTAATTACAACTTTTTAGATTGGAAAGTAATTCTGATTATAACTTAAAAACAAAGAAATATTGCATGCTAAACTTAAGAAGTGTTCATGCAAATTTTATGAACGGCACACAAAAAATACCTGAAATGTCATTCACCCAAATAAGGCCTTGTAATGTATGTCTACCTGTCGTAAAAGACTCAAAATTGTTGCAACCTTTCCAGGTAAAGATGCACTATTATATTTTGGTATTTTGCCAGGTAAAAGCAAACTGGCAGTACCCTCATTTGGAATCTGTAAATAGGCAATCCTTGATTGAGCATTTCTGTGAAATGAGTCAAAAGTGATGTTGCGGAATAACAAAGGTACTGAATGTGTGTCTCACAACTTCATGAAGTACCAGTGGAATCGAACCACTCTTAGCAGTGCTCAAGGAAAAACATACATTGAATGACCAAGAGCACACTAAGTCGACCTGGGGTACTTTTCATTAGTTAGAGTGAGCCAACACAACAGTGTAATGGGAAAAATATGTCCGCATACATGTGTAGCAATTATTCTAACAAATGCATGCTACTCAGTACATGAATTAATAAATTAACAACTGTACACACTATGAATTGCTTAGACCAATATTAAGTGCCTTTCCAAAAGGGATGTTAAGGGCATTGAGCCCCGCGCTGGACCAAGAAGGGGGCAATTTTCCAACAAACGCAGCCTTCTTTTGTGTCATTAGATTAGAGCAAGTGAAGTATTCACTGCTGGTTGACATGCTTTTGCCATCTCCTTCTCAGTGAAGGTAAAGATAAATTCCCAAAACGAAATCCCTTACCGATAACAAAGTACTTCTGGGGTATGGACGACCTTCTGGTAGTCCAGTATATCAAAGTGAATGTCGGATGTGGAGCAATGACGATCGTGGCTGCCTATTCACTTCTTGTCAGAGCAGTGTTGTGTGTGCATGAACATCAGGCCAGTACGAGGCCGAATTTCTAGGTTATTTCGTGGACTGATCGAAAGTGTTAAGGCCTACGCAGAACCTATCAAAAAGACTTTATTTTGACACACTTACCTTTTTTGTTCAGGAAAAATATGAATTATAATAAAGAGGTTTCTTCTGCATGCATTTTTGTGTATAAAATAAATGTAAATCGAAAAAGATGAAGTGTTTGTGTTTCGACCTTCGGAACAAATAGAAGTTCGTGGAAACAAATTAATAATGATGTTTTTATTTTCAGAGGTAATAAAATAAAAAATGTAAACCTCTAACAATGTTATTTGTATTTTATATTGCCCTTCTGACACGGAGAGCGCCGCCATTGTTCGGCTGCGCCGCGCATTTTGTGCACAAACAATGCGCAATGTCCTATCCAGTCTTTATCCGGTTCGTAAGTGTGACGTCACTTCAGTTTAAACCACGCCCACTGCACATGCACTGTACATAGAGTTAAATCCACTGATTGCCGTTTACATGGAAACATGGTACCCGACGTTAACGTGCAACTTCAGCGCTAGTCCAATGGGAGCCTGCAAGTCATGGCACGTCTGCCTTTGTGACGAAGTCACTTACGAACCGGATAATGGAGATTAATGCTCGCATCCATGTGTCGGCACGTGATTTACGCAGCGGGCATTATCACCTCTACGTGGGAAATATCAAATGTTATAACATCTCATCCACAGATTCTGTATCTTGACTGGCCGAAAGTGTGTCATGTGACGCTTGCTAGTTTTACTATTTTTATACCATTGCTCCAAAAAGACTATACCATGCAACCTCATTCTGAAAAAGAACTATAGGGATGCGTTTGAGCAAGCTTTTCTTGTTTACACGAGTACTCTCCCAAAGCGCACGAACGGCAGGAGTAAGCCCCACGAATCAGCAAGAGTATACTTCCCGTCATGCAGGAGTATACTGCTGACCCGAGAGTAATGCGCGCGTATCCTCGCTCGTGTTGACACTGTCACTGTGAACCAGAGAGTGCATTCGAGCGAGCTATTGGCGTTAGCACGAGTATACTCCTGAGAACTCGAACAGCTGGAGTACGACCCAAGCATTAGCGTGAGTTTACTCTCACTAAAGGGGGAGTAAATGTTTACTCCTGTACCCGAGTGTAATGCGTATGCATCCTACTCGTGTTAACGGGAGTAACCGCGCGAACGAACCCACAAAGTGCAGTGCAAATGAATGGAGTACCCACGCGTGTTGGTTCACGCCCAGTTTTCTTTACAGAGAGAATTGTGCGCGAGACGTATTCACTTCGGTACTCTAAACCCGTTGCAATCAAAGAACTACATGTATATCCGTAGCAACGAAAGCATGAATAGTACCCACAGAAATATGGAAGGGCTGAGTAGCACCGTTATCAAAATAACAAGAAGAATATTATATCAAATCAGTGCACATGAATAGTACCCAGCTGTGTATTTCGGCTCACAGCGTGAATTTTTATCTGTCACTCTCGAACCCCCTGAGCCAGGTAAGGTACTAGCCAACCTCGTTCCCATGGAAACGATCTTGCCGCGCCACGTTGGTTCCCACAATGCCTTGCGCGATATAACCCCTGGTATTGTGTGATTTAAATATCCTAGTATGGGTGCGCTCGATTAGCTTACGCATGTAACTCAAACTTACACGAGAGCGTTCGTTTAGCCATTACGCGATCTTCGTGCCTGCTCTGGTGTCAGCCATCACTACCCCGGCTCGTGAGCGGGTCTCAAGAGGCGACCCGAGTGTAATGACGTCACGGATGGACTGTTTGAACATGAACATGATGGAACGTGGCGGTGACTTGACCTTTTTCCCAGAATGCCTTGGAGAATACATTGCAGCGTTCGATTAGCCTCATTTCGAGGCTTCCCTTGCGTGCAACACTGGTGTATTCAGGGAAGCTAATCGAAGGCACCCAATTAGGGATATTCAAATTAGGGGTGTGCATTTGCGGGTATTTTTAGAACCGGGTACCCGTTTTTTAATAACATCGGGTACCCGGGTACCCGGAAAAGAGATCGCCTAATAACAAATGGCATTGCACACGACCCGGTGGATCATGTA